TATTATTATTTGTATATAATTCAATAATATATACTTTCACAAACCTACATACATATATACATATACACATACAAACTAATGTTCATACACACATTCATAAATACATATACATGCATACATACATACATACACAATATATACAATATATATATACATACACAAATAGATGCACACATAGATGCACACATTCGGGATCCCAAAAGGCGTGTCTATACTAATGTAGTGCTATTTAACTCAAACCCATACATACATACATACATACATACATACAAACATACATACATACATACACACACACACATACATACATACATACATACATACATACATACATACATACAGACATACATACATACATACATACATACATACATACATACATACATACATACATACATACATACATACATACATACATAAATACATACATACATACATACATACATACATACATACATACATGTTACTATATAAAGACTTTTGAGGCTAGCGAAGGAACATATGCTCGACGGTAACAATCATTGGCGATAAACGCGAGTACGAATTTGCCTCCAACGGACCGTACTGACCTTTTGGACCCTGCTTGCCCTGGGACTTCGAATGAAGATTAAACAGAGGTTTGTCTGAAATTCGGAGAAAGATTCTAGAAAATGGACATATATTCGACTGATCGGAAGCTTAGCGAGCTGACATGTGAGTCGTATGTTTAAATTTTAATAATATAAATTAAAATAAATTATTATAAGTAATTTTGAATAATTTTAAAAGTAATTTCAGCAATACTCGTGAGTAATTTAGATCTAGAGTAATTTCAAAGAGTAATTTCGGTAAGAAATTCAAGTTGTTTCAGTAAAGTAAAGCTTAAAGCAACTTTTTTTACTCATATAAAAGTATGAATTTAAGTAAAATTTTTACGTGACTTTGGTATAATTTGAGCGTTACTTTCCATGTTCACTTGTTGAAGTAACTAAAATTAATTAACTAAGGAATAAATTATTAATAATTATACTTGATTATAACCTACTTAGTAATGTTACTGTGATCAATTGAACGTACAAACATACAAACGAGCGTACAAACAAACAAACAAACACATAGTACATCCTACATACATCCTTATAAAATTATGTCGATTCAGCTTGAAGTTTATTATTCACGTTACAAAAGTCAACATGTTATTTTTGTTTTGTCTTGCGTGCGTGTGTGTATTTGTGTGTGTTTCAGAATGAGAGAGAGAGAGGAGAGAGAAAGAAAGAAATATTCAAAAAGAGAAAGAGAGAGGGGGGGGGGGAGAAAAAGAAAGATGTAACTGATGGGGTGGGTGCCTGCTTTTGACTTTAAATTATTTGTTTTACCTCTTCAACAATCAACTAATCAACCAACCAATCAATCAATCAACCAACCAATCAGGTTTTGGGTCTCACAGTAACATCGGCCACAACAACAACAGCAGCAGCAGTGGTAGCAGCAGCAACAACAACAGCAACATGATGACAAACTCAATGGACTTATTCGATACCGATTACGATCAGCAAAGTTCGGTTTTTGACGCCGAGATAATCGATCTATTCGATAGCGAATTCAACCAATTCAGTACCGACCCGCTAAAGGTAGGAATGAGGGAATGAGGGAATGAATGAATGAATGAATGAATGAATGAATGAATAGATGAATGAATGAATGGATAAATGAATGAATAGATGAATGAATGAATGGATGAATGAATGCATAGATTTTTAGATGGATAGATGAATAAATGAATAGATAAATGACTAAATAAATTGGCCGATAGATGGAGAGATGAGTAATAAATAATTCGTTATATGGATATATTAGCGGGTCAACCAACTGATCTTTTCATTCATTCATTCATTCATTCGTTCATTCATTCATTCATTCATTCATTCGTTTATTCATTCATTCATTCATGCACTCGTTTTTCATTCATTATTTGTTCGTTCACTCGTTCATTCATTTAACGTCATTATTAGTAAACCGATCAAGCCCTAGCTTAGCATTGTTTAGTTCGATTTAATCACAAGAATCGGTTTGATTTGTATTTGTGGATGTATGTACTATGTATGTATGTATGTATGTATATATAAGTATGTATTTGTAAATTTTGGTGACAGACTGTTGTTAACGCAACATTTCAGAAATTCAACACTACTTTCAACATTGTTCAACTTTTTTTTATATTTCTTTTTATTTTATTAATTTCAGAGAAATTAGACATTTTATTGTTTTTTTTAAAATTTTTATTAAATAAATTTGCAAATAGCTATTTCGAGTTATATATAACTCATCTTCAGTGCATTATATATAAGATATGTAAGATAATAGATTATATATAAGATATGTTATAATATTTATAATAATAATATTTTAAAATAAAATTTTTAAAAAAACAATAAAATTTCTAATTCCTCTGAAATTAATAAAATAAAATAAAATATAAAAAAGTTGAACAATGTTGAAAGTAGTGTTGAATTTTTGAAATGTATGTATTTGTATGTATGTATGCATATATGTAGGTACATATGTATGTATATTTGTATGTATGTGTGTATGTATGTGTATATGTATGTATATGTGTATTAGCAATATTCATTTTAATATTGAGTTGTATCACTTATGATTGTAAGATGAACTGAACAATACACTAGCATTTGAAAAAAATACCTTTTTTGCAAAATTATTTATATAGGAAAGTTGTAGTAATAGTAGTATATATAGTAGTAATAGATGTAGTAGTAGTTGTTGTAGTAGTTTTAGTAGTGGTAGTAGTAGTAGCAGTAGTAATAGTAGGGGTAGTGGTAGTAGTAATATTATTGAATAGTATTTAATTGGCATTTAATTTAAAGATTTTGAAGTGGCTAAACTTTGTATATTGCATGGTTCTGTAAAATATAGCGCTATAACATTACGTTAGATTTTTGTTGTTGTTCTTATTATTATTGTTTCTATTAATATTGTTAATATTATTAATATTATTATTATTGCAATTATTTTTATGATAATTATAGCCATTATGTATAATTAAGAGTTCAGTTTTGTGGTATGTTGTGTTGATTTGTGTGTGTGCGTGCGCGTGTGTGTGTGTGCGTGTGTGTGTTCGTGTATGTGTGTGTGTTGGTTCTTATAGATAGCCTAAAATAAAGGCAGTAGTGACATTTTTTTATCGATGACTTAACTCTGATGATAAATTATGACGAGTTTTAGTTTTAAACGCTGTTTACTCGTTTCTTTTTCTCTCTCTCCCTCTCTTTCTCTCTTTTTCTCTCTTTCCCTCTCTCTCTCCCTCTCTCTCTCTTTCTCTTTCTTTATCTATTATTTCAATTATTTGACATTTTGAAGTTATTTATTAGAAAAAGTAAATTTATTGTATATATATATGTACACGTACACACACGCACAGCCAGTCTTGTGGAAAAAGACCGAAGCAAATATTTAAATAGACCTATGACACGATGATGTGTATGTACAAGTACATACGTGTGTATGTGTGTGCATTTGTATGTGTGTGTGTGTTTGTATGTGCATGTATGTATGTTTGTCTGTGTGTATATTTGTCTGTGTGTTTGTTCTTTTAGACACGTAAAGCGTGTTTCTTTTTATTTATATTTGTTGGTATTATTTATTTGTCATTTTAATTTTGTGTTTGTAGTTTGTTTAGTTGCTGTAGTTGTTGGGTGTGAAGTTGATGATGATCTAAGATGATAAGGTATCTTATGTTGTTTGTGTGTGTGTGCATGTATATGTGTATGTGAGTGCGTGCGTGTGTGTATGTGGCTGTCACTATCATTTTATTATTATCATTATTATTGTTGCTTTTATAATTTTTCAAATTTTTTTTTTTTTGAAAATTTGAAAACTTTAAATTGGCTCCAGCTCTCAAAAGTTTTCCCTCGCGTCAAATCAGCAGACATAATTGCCTCCTGATGACGATGATGGTAGCGACAACAATAAGAACAATAAAAATTTTTGTTATTATTATTATTATTATTAGTCTGAGAATTTACATGTCAGACAATAAGCTAGTGCTATGCGATGATTTGTTAAAATTGTCGTGGTAGTCATTCAGTTGTTAATTTGTTCATTCGTTCATTAATTTATTCATTCATTCATTCATTCATTCATTCATTCATTCATTCATTTATTCATTCATTCATTCATTCATTCATTCATTTAATTGTTTTTTTCTTTCTTTCATCCATTCATTCATTCAATCATTCATTCATTAATTTATATTTAATCGACCATCTACCTTTTCTTTACACTCTTTCATTTTTGCTAAAGTCATCATACAATAAGTATTAATAGTATTGGTAGCAACAGTAGTAGTAATATTATTAGAAGCAGTGGTAGTAGTAGTAGTAGTAGTAGTAGTAGTAGTAGTAGTAGTAGTAATAGTAGTAGTAGTAGTAGTAGTACTAGTCACGCCAATCTGAAACTTGTTCAACGTCATTGTTAGTTGCTTAGCCATCTTCTTTGAATAGGGCATACATGTGAGCTTGTGCTATCAATACAATACAATAGAAACAACAATAATACCTAGCATACCAAGTACTGCACATCTGTGTGTGTATATGTGTTTATATATATATATATATATATATGTGTGTGTGTGTGTGTGTGTGTGTGCACCACGTTAATGCCACACACATACATCCATACTGGATGGTTCCAATTGGATTCCTATGGGAGTTGGTAAACTTAATTTTTGGCAATGGAAATTTTAAGGAATATGGGATCGCTGTTCTGGAGTCGAGAATGGCGCGACGAGGATGGGAATAAATGGAAAAATCACATCTACGTGTAAAAATAGAAGCCTACATTTATACATGTATGCACTTGTACACATGTGATCGGCGCATACACATAGACACACAATGACGAGAACCACCATGGAAGCAAGTAAAGTCAACAAAACTATAAAGAAATTTTCTATATGTAACTCTATATAACTCTATAGCTCTTGGTTTGTTGAATATGATATAGAGAGAGAGAAAAAAAAAAGAATAAGATGAGAGAGATAAAGAAAAGAGAGAGAAAGAGAGAAAGAGAGAGTCTAGAGAGACCATGATATTGTTTTTGTTATCAATGACATTGTTTTGCTATCATAGTGCTATCAACATATGTCTTTATAGCTTTCTAAGTTAATTAGTTGTAGTAGTAGTAGTAGTGGTAACAGTAGTAGTAATAGAAGTAGTAGGAGTAGTTGTTGTAGCAGTAGTAGTAGTAGTAGAATTGAAACTAATATTGATTGTGAACTTTTATGCATATTATACATAAAAACAATTAAAATACTTTATAGGGAAAACAATTATTGTTGTTGTTGTTGTTATTATTATTATTATGGGGCCGGTGCGTTTGAAATGTTTTCATTCATTTTCTAGTGAAAAATAAAATTACTAAAAATTTCAACTGCAAAATTTTAAATGATAATTATGATAATAAATAATTATAGCGATAGTAATTATTGTAACAACAATAATAATAATAACAATAACAACAATAACAGCATAATAGTAATAACAGTGATAAACATTTATCCCAAGCCCCATACACCATACTGATTCTCAACTGAGCTGTAACATATTGTCACATCGTTTACACACACACACACACACACACACACACACGCACACACACACACACACA